AAAAAAAAAAAAAAGCATTACAAAAGTTAGAAATCACTCCATTTGCAATGGAAAAAAAAGAAGCAGCTTAAACTTAAAAAAAATAAAAAACCCAATAGTCTGCACTATCATCACTATTACTAGCATCGTTAATGGAATCATCATCATATCTAATTTCCTTATCATCTTTCTAGATATTTTATTGTTTTGTTTGGGCCCAAAATACCTTTTTAAATGGACCATTTTCTTTTTTAAGAAGGGTACTTTCTGATTTCTTTTCATACAATTGAAAAATCAAATTTTAAATGAGGTGTGCGCCTCAGATTTAGAGGCGTGAGTCTCATATTTTTAGCCTAAAAAAAATCGCCTCGAGGCATACTACATGCGCTCACTACCGCATTTTTAAACCATGTATATATTGTTTGTTTTATAAGGCTCTAGCTACAGTATCCATGACAAAGTAAAAGAGATCTTTTAGCTTAAGGCTCTATTTGTTTCGGATTAAAATCAGACTTTAATCTAAGTCAAAGTCAAACAATCAATATTAACTACATCTTTCATGTGTCTCATAGCTTTTCAGCAACACATTTTAAAAACTTCTATCACAATCTACTAAAAATCCAATTTTAATCCCCACCAAACACCCACTAAATCTTTCAAATATTATTCATATTGAAATCTAGTTATCCATAGCTTAAATTAGGAAGAGTAGCATGTTTGGTAATAGTGACATTAATATTATATTTTCTTGATGTACATTCCCCATTTCTTATCTGACAACCGTCTATCATTTTGAGAGCTGAGAATACTTCAGTTCAAAACACTGCATTTTTAAAATACAAATGTGTCTTTTGCCACCATTGCCATATGCTTAATTAAATTATTGAACTGAACAATGTTTAATATGAACATGATCCATAAGTTGACCGTATACGATAGTTGAAGGCTGTTAAATTTATTTCTTGGCCGTGGATAGTATGATGGAAAACCAACCGTGTTCTGCAAACTTGCTGGATGTTTAGCTTTTAAACTTCGAACTTCAATAATGAAGTTCTTCTGCCTTTTCCATTGACTAAAACAGTTATGCATCCATCAAGCATTTTTTAATGTCATCATGGGTTGGCACTCCATGTTGATATTTAAAATTTATTTTGTTGTTGCAGCTAATGTACGTCATGTAACCAGTTTTGAATCCCTTCAGATCACGACGAGGTACAAATCTTGTTATTTTTCTTTGTTGGTTATTCTGGTTATTTTGAACTTATTAGAAGAACAAGTGTGGGGGTACCATGTATCTGCTGCTACAGCCTAGAAGCATAAGAGTTCACATGACTGTAAACATTTGTGGCTGGGGATCTTGATCAATTTCAGAAAGGATCTAAAACTCCATCTCATGGCACTTCATCTAAGCAAGATGTGATCTCAGCCATCAAATTGTTCAACTTGGGTCCAGAGCAGTTCTTCGTTTTTTCAATAAAACATGAATGGAGAGTTGAAAAGATACTTCATGTTAATCACCTTGTTGATTTTATCCTTCATATAGGTCTCCTCCAACAGATTTTGTCAGATTGGACCAAGATATCCTGTCACCTCTTGCTGGAAAGAAGCAATTATATACATACGAGACCATGGACTACTGGGAACAGATCAAGACCCCAGGGTGAAGTAATTTTACTAGATATCCATGCCTCTTCTTTCTCGTGCCAAGAAGTTTTGACCAACTTATTTGAATTTGCATCTTACTTTTCAGAATCTCTATTAAATGTTCTGCTTTGTACCTTGCTCAATTCCGAATTGCATCTCCAGATCTCCTGGCCAAAGGAGATGGCACAAAGAATGCCATGGTTGTTGGCGATGTATGTATTCATCCATCAGCAAAAGTACACCCAACCGCGAAGGTAAATTCCAGTTAATGTACTTCTCAGTTATGTTTCAATTCAGAATTACATTGAGCCCTTTCATTTATTGCCCAAGCTGTCTATCTTCCCTATGGACATTTAAGCACATTTCAAGATTTTTCAGTTTTTCAGTAATTTCAATCTATTCTGTGTTAATGGATACCAATTTTGAGCATGTTTGACTAAGCTTAAAAGTAAATTTTTAGAAAGTTAAGTTAGTCAAAGAGGTAACTTTTAAAATTAAATTTGGCTAGACAGAACCTTAAAATAACTTCTTTCTAGACATCTATATACTTGATAGGAAACTTTTCTTATTTTTATTAAATGTTGGAAATGGATTAAATTACATCCTTGTAGAAAATAAATTCCGTGTCACCTTTTTTCATGAACAATGCTACTAAGCTTCTGTTTGAGCTCCATTTTTTTTGTTAAAAAATGAGTTTTGTAATAATAGTATTTTTTGGAGAATGTGTGGTTAAAAAATATATAAAAGTTCTAGGTTTACGTGTAAAATTATTTTAGTGGGAAAATGTGTGGTTGAAAATGAGTTTGACGAAAATGAATTTTTAGATAATGGGGCTCAAACAGGGGCGAAGAATCTAAAAGAAAGCAACTTTTCATGAATCTGACTCTTCATAAACTTTCAAATGGTAATTATTATGGCTGTACTCCTCCCTACCATTATTACTAATTTTGCTGTTGCTGTGTGAACAGATTGGACCCAACGTGTCGATATCAGCAAATGTCCGTGTTGCACCTGGTGTACGGCTTATTAATTGCATCATCTTAGATGATGTAGAAATTGATGTGAGTACTGACCTGCTCATGATGCGGTATAAATAAACTTGTCATGACATAATTGTATTATTGTTCAGGAAAATGCTGTTGTGATGCATGCTATTGTGGGATGGAAGTCATCTATCGGGAAATGGTCCCGCGTTCAGGTAAATTTGCCAGCATCTAAATTATCACACAAGTGTTTTTGTAAGTATGATCATCTTTTTTTTCTATAAATTATTCTCTATAATTTTAGAGCTTTTACCTAAATCACCGTGGCTGGCTTTAAATTTTCAAACCAATCCATTCCCAAAGATTTTGATATTGGTTGCTAAGTTTATAGGATTGTTGGGAATGTTGTGCTTCCTTCTGAAATTTCTGATAAATTTTGACCTATCCAAAAGGCATATAACCTAAAGTACACAAATTTTGTTTATAGAGCTTGTTTGATTCTCATAATTTTCAAAATACATTTTTCTCTCTCATTTTTAATTACACATTTTTCAATAAAATAATATTATATGTAAACCCAAAAGTTTTCTTTATTTCTTAACCGCACATTCTCTATCAAATCACTATTTCAAAATGCATTTTTTGCAAAAAATGGGGCTCATACATGTTCATAATCTTTGAGGCCAACCGATGGATATAATGTTTCGAATTAAGTTTCTTATGTCATATTTGCCTCGCTTAACAAAGACATTATCAGCTGTGAAAAATTCAAGAGATGCATATTCTAATCTCTTTGCACCTATTTTTCTTGATTGCACTCTAGGATATATAAAGATAACGTCCTCCTCCATTTTTCAACAAACATAAAATCAAAAATGAAAACAATATAAATGTGCATGTTTGGTTTGCCATACTAGGCACAACACATAATGAAACGAGATTAATCTTTTTAATTCTTCCTTAAGGTAACCAAACTTGTACATATAGTGCATATTACCAGACAGGCCATATATGTCTAAGCTAAAGTTAAATTCATGTTAGCTACATTCATGACTAAACAAGAATTGAATCATTGATTCAGGCTGATGGGGACTACAACAAGAAGCTTGGAATTACCATATTAGGTATTTCACTCTGATTTTCGTGGTTTTATGCTATTTATTAAAAAGTAGTTAGAATTATATTATATTGATGCTATAATGTAGGGGAGGCCGTGACTGTTGAAGACGAGGTGGTGGTGATTAACAGCATCGTTCTTCCAAATAAGTCACTTAATGTAAGCGTACACGATGAGATCATTCTATGATACTTGAAGAGCATCTATCCTGGAGGCCTCGAAGTCATTCTAGATATTTGAGTTACAAGTCATTTTCACCATACAACCCTTTGTTTGCTAAAAAATCATATGATTCTCATTTCGAGACAGCTATTTGACCCGATAAGCAGAGACTGCACTGTTTTGGTCTGTAAGGACTTGTTTGCCAAGCTTAAAAAAGTATACTTAATTCAGCTTAAAAGAGTTCACCATTTACAGAGCATCTGTTTGCTTGACCAATGAGTCGCAATGAAAGATTGTGAAATATTACATCAAATTTGATCTACAATGTGAAATATTATAACTAAAAATGCAGGAAAGTAGCCAGGGAAACACCCCATGTGGGAGTGAACGACCAAGAATTTGAATGGCATTGCAACTCTTTAGTGTGCAATGGTGCCTCATTTCTAAAAAACATCAATTGTGGTCGTTTACTAGATCATCCATAGTTTGATCATAAGGGAGGATTTGTAAGAAAAAAAGGTAAAGAAAGCAAAATTGGAAAGAAAATAAGAAAACAAATATAACCCATTATCAAGAATGGCCTTTCAAAACTGGAAAGCATTTATGATCTTCATCACCTACTAAACCTCACAGCAAAATATACTCGGAAACAGTTCGACAAAAGTTAGGCTTCTAATAATACAAATATTCCAGAAAGGCAGCGATCATCGTACCATTCTAGGACAGAAGCAACATCAATTTAGACAAGGTTTCAAGAGCGTTTTCCAATAAAGTGGAGTGCAGGAAAAACTTCCTATGACAATGCTCTGTTTCTACAACATTCCGCGAACAGCAAGTTGCACGAGTTTCGACTTGGTTAGAAGTGTAGTCATATTACATCATATGATTGAAGTCCCGATAGAAAACAGACGATTTCTGATGGGGTGGATTCATTGATGGGGTCGTAATTGTAATTTGTAAGCCTGTATTTCCATGCGAGAAATAAGAACATGCCCTTCCTGGGCACCATCTCCAAACTGCCTATCATACCCAAGCATATCAGTGTCTTCATGTAAAAGATTCAGAGAGGTAGGTTTCGCATTCAGAACTGCTAACCCTTTGAACATATCAAACAAATTGACTGGTTCATCAGCCAGATTCGAGCATCGAGACCTGCCCTTTCTACAGTAAGAGGAGTCGTAATGTCGTCTCTGCAACACAAGAACAAACCTGGAATCCTCGACTGTCTGCTGGGAGTATTTTAGTGGCTGAGGAACCTTAAAACTCATGACATGCAAATCACAAGGCAAGGAAGCTGCCAATGGAGAGAAGGATCTCGGAGGTGGTTGTACGGATATTTCTTGAGGTTTCTTAGCAATGAATACATTTAATGGATAGTTCAAGTGAGCACCAACAAGATGAGAGAGGAGAGAGGGACTCCGTGGCGAAGGATTTGGAGTTAGATTTACAGACGTTGAAATGTTTGACTCCACGAGGATATGGAAAAGTACATTCATAGGACGGTTATCCATCACTCCTTGGCCTAGACCACGGCCATCATCCCTCACCAGTCGACGATCAAGCATGATCTCCAACCACCCATTTTTTAAGCTAGCAACACCTAAGGACTGCCGTGTATGAACAGAGAAGCGTTGTCCATTTGGGTCTTGCATAAATGCGAGGGAGGGCATTGGATAGTAATTTCCTTGCAGAGGGATCTTATCATAAGTTTCCCTCCGGCTCATTTGGAATCCATTTAGATCCGAGTAAAAGACTCTTCTGTTATCAATATCAGTCTTGTATCTAGCTATCAATTCTTTATCATTGAAATCATTCCCAAGAAGCTCAACGTGATACTCCTTCTCAATGACAAATTCCTGTACCGTATTTTCACCATTATAAATACGGGTGCTATGAGAGACAGGAGACGCCTCCCATGCTGTTTTTGGGTAAGAGTGAACTTCCTGCACCAAGTGGCCCTCTGAAACCACAATTTGCCCTGCAGCTTGGATAATAGACTCAGCCTCGCCATTTGGTTTAAATAGATATGCTCCACTCTCAGTACTAGAGTACATTCCTATTTCTTCATCCACAACATACACATGACCATCACTATGACTGATTTTCTGCAATACACCGTGATTCACTCTAAACGTGAGTGTCTGGTGTTGATTCCTGATTTCAACCGTGTCACTTTCTAATTTTGTACAAGCATATGGAGCTGGACAAGATAGGTCATTGGACGGAGTGAAAACTCTCAGTCTTGCCGGGTTGGCCTTCTCACATCCAACAAATCCATTCGCGATATAATATGTTTGCAATCCCAAAGCAGGAATAGAAGCTTTCCAATAGACACGATGTTTTCCCGTAAACATCTTGCTTTTATCATGATGCAGTTCGGGAGAGATTTGGCTTTTGACACATGTCCAGTTCGAGTCCAAAACAGTAACATCAGGCCTTTCAACAACAATCATCACAACCTCATTACTCGTTTGCTCCAGAGGATTAAAAATGACCACAGTTTGCACAGTTCCTTCATGCAAGCTGATTGCTCTATGCACTGGTTGAACATTGTATTTAGATCTTACTTGGGCCGGTTCAAACTGAGCTGGGTTATGATCATTTTTCTCGTGATGAATTCCAAGCAAAACTTCAATAGCCTTAGACATAAAAATTTGCAGGTCCTGTAAAGCCATATGCATCCGTGTCCCATAATCTTCAACCACATGATCCTTAGCTGTACCAGTCACACCGTCATGATGCTGAAATAGTGCTAAGTTCCGTCTAGCGGCTGTCAACTTGTATGAAAACCCAGTAGGTAACTTTTCGCATTGTGGTTTCTGGCAGTATCCCAATAAAAAGGCCATCATCATTTCTGCACCACGAAGTGTTTGCTCCAATACACGGTCAACGGCCTTGAAGAAAGGTCTGGAGACATAATAGCCGCTCCAATAATCTTGATTTCTGTCAGCATATGTAAAGAAGTCGCCAGATAGAGAAGGAAAGCCTCCAATCTGACCAGAGCCAATCTCACCGGGACGTGAATAATTTATTCTGTCAGCTTCCTCACGTAACATTCGGAAATAATCTTCCAAAGTCCCAAAATTAGCTTCAGCGTTCAAGCTAGGATCAGAATTAATATAATCAAACAACAACTGATAATTCCTGAACTGGGCTTCTGCTTCATCAATACTGATGTAGCGGAAATCGTCTCCAAGTGGAACAAGAAGTGTATTTGTTCGGTAAAGTATTGATTTCTTCTTATACTGATCCAATAATTTAAGTGCTCTCTCCTTCACATTTTCCTGGTTGGTTTCCACAGGATGTTCTCCCCAGGGGCAGAGCTCATAAACAAAGCCACGCATTCGAGCAAAATCAAACTGACAACAAACAGCAGGCTCTGGCCCACAAGTATGTGGAATATCATAAGAATAGAAGGGCATCATGTGGACAAAAATATCAGTTGTTTCCTCAGCATCCCAGCTCTGGCGCCAAACATACTCCAAATTTTTATCCCACGCCAGCTCCTTCTTCAACTCGTAATGTGTCCTCTGTATAAGCATGTTCTCAAACCCCATCCGGCGGAGAAGATAAGCCATGGTGGACGAATACCCAAATGGATCAATGGACCAAGAATTTTTTGGAATTACTCCAACAGTCTCATTCAACCACATATTTCCCTCTGTAATCTGAGGTATGAAATACACAAAAATTAGAGAAGAAGTGATATAAATCAAATCATTTCAACAAGCTCCAACAATTATATGAATACATGCGTAGGTAGACTATAAGAGCCGGTATGTAACTGCACAGAGATGCATGCACAAAATGGATGCATCGAAGTTCCAGATGGATAAACTAGATCCTATTAGAAGCATCAGATGGCAGAGATTATAGGCTAAAATCAAAACTGCAAGAACCACACTACCAAGCCAAAAAAGCTAACCTTGATAAATTGTAATATCTCATAAATATATAAAATCTACCATTTCACAGAGCATGAAAACTAGCAACGGGCCAGAGAGCTTCCAAAAAGCATAACAAAAAATTAGTATGCATTGCCATTATCATTCCAAAAGAAATTCAACGAACTAGCATAAATTAGTATGCATCGCCATTATCATTCCAAAAGAAATTCAACGAACTAGCATTCCCTACTCTGCTACCTTATATTCAAGATTTTCATACTATTGCCATAAAAAATAGTGATGGGAACTACAGATGAATTACAGCTATTTATGAAGATGAGATAAGGAAATTCAATATTATGCACTGTTGAATGGTGGCGAAAATGAAATACGTGAACTACAAGAATGACCAAAGATATTTTCCATTGTACCTGTTCAATGATAGCAAAATAATGTGAATTAGCCTGCACAAAGGAATGAAAAAAAAAATCAGTAAGCCAATATAGTTAAAATCAGATGAACTAGTAAACAAATATCCACCAAACCTTATAGGAATTTCATTACATGTAAAGTAGAATGTGGGTATTCACACACCGTCATGGTGAAATTAGTTTTCTATGAGGCATGAAAAATGCAGCATTTGAGGTTTGAACACTGTGACAAGTGATTAAGTACGAATAATGCAACCTGACTTGTGCTCTTTCAAAGTCATGGATGAAACAAACTGAGTAGCTAGAAAATCGCACTTTGATGCCATCCTAAACTAAGTTTAGGCAAAACCAAAATATGTAAATGCAACAAAATTAGAGTAAGTGTGAATTTATGCCTATGCTTAAAGAATCTGCACGAGTATTATTACCTCATCATTCATCACCCATCCACCTCCGACAATTTCCAACTGTCCATTCTGCACTAAATTGATGAAGGATTCTTTTTTAACATCTGAAGCATCCCTCCACCATCTTTCCAGATAAGACATCTCTTCCCATATAAATTTACGACGATTATCCTACAAATATACAAGTCTAACCAATCAAATTTAACTATCAAAACTTAAAGTTTTTGTTACAAACCCCAAAGAAAAAATACAGTGACAATTAATAAATAACAATAATGAATTTATTCTACTCCTCCATTACCCAGAAAGTGCTACAATTCAGCATTTAAACAAGAGTTCACATCGTTTAGAAAGCAAAACAACAATAGAAACCTGGTAAGTTAAATTTCCCCAATACTCCAAGAAGTTAGATCGATCATGAAGTAACCAAAAGTTAACAGTAAGAAATCGAACGCATAAATAAGAACGCATCACATGTAAAGGTAAAAACTCTGATCAAGAAATCAATTTAAAATAAACCACAATAAGAACAATAACCTTGGAAAGTGTTTCAACAATTGTGTCAAGAATATGCCTGGACTGGCGATCGTAATACTCTTCAACAGTGAGTTTCCAGCCTGGATCATTATGCGAATGCGGCACCACGAACACTTTCAATTTTTCATTATTCCATTCAGTCCCTTTGTAAGTCACCTTCCACCCCTGTTTCCAAGGACCACCATCCTTATCCAAGAACTGGATCTTATCATACAGTTCTTTGGTGGTAATATCAACGGCGGCCGTCAAAAAGGTGTCGTTAACAGACTTATGGATGACGGGCTTCCGGGACCGAGGGAGTCGGGACCGGGCGGCCCGAAACTGGTGAGGCCTGGGTACACCAAAGCGAAACAGGAGGAAAAGGAAAAGAAAAAGAGAAAATAAAATCCCGATTGTGAAGAAGTTGGAGAGGATAAAGTCACGGAAGGCGGCGGTGGTACGCCGGCGGGGCTTGAGGCTACTGCGGGTTTGTTTGGAAGTGGATTTTGTGGCTGTGGTTGGGAGGAGGGAATGGACCCAACCACCACCTCCACGGCGGGAGGAAAAAGCCATGGTAGTGGAGAGATCGGAAGGAAAATGGAAGTTAAATATACAGTGATGAGATTATTGAAAGTCTTCCTCTAAGTCAAGATTTCATTTAAGCCATGAGATTATTAAAAATCTTGATTTCTTGATTCAGATTTTCTTGCTTTTTCCAAACGTTTGGAATAAGGAAATCAGTCACTTTGAATTTTCCAAAGAGGAAATTGGGACCAAAAAATTGTTGTATATTTATGCCCCTCTGATCTGATAAGCGAATTTTCTGAAGCTGATATGAATTCTAGCTGCACTGTGTAAGGAAGAGTTAATAGCTTGTTCGGTAATTATAACAAAATAAGTAAAATTAAAATAGTTAGTTATTAATTAATCAACTTTGAAAAAAAGTAAATATTTTTAAATGAGTAATTAGCACATAACGTCCTTACATTTCATTATAATTGTGGAAAACGTCATTACCTTTCATTTTTTGATATTTTTACCCTTATTTTCATCATTCATTATCCAAAAGGCTATTATCAACCATATTTTCACTAAAAAGCTGTGAAATAACGAATATGTCGTTCTGTTTTAAAAAAAAAGAAAAAAAAAAGAACTAATTGCAATAGTCCTAATTCTTTTTAAAAAGTACAAACGAGTCTCAAATAAATTATGAAAATGATAATTAGCACATAATGTCTCTATCTTTCACTATTATTGTGAAAAACGTCATTATCCTTTATTTTTTGATATTTTCATCCTTATTTCAATTTTCATTGCACAAAAGATAATTGTTTATCAATTTCCTCAATTAAAAGTTGTGAAATAACGAATATATCATTCTCCTTTAATAAAATAAAATAAAAAAATAAAGAACTAATTGTAACCATAGTCTTAATAAAATAAGAATAAACGAGTCTCAAATAAATTATTAAAAAACATATATTTTTTTAGAAAATGAAAACGAGTCTCAAATAAATTATGAAAAAAAGTAAAAATTTAAAAACTGCAAACGAATCCCAAATAAATTATTAAAAAAATTATAAATTAATTTTTTTTTTTAAAAAAAAGTGCAAACGAATCCCAAATAAATTATTAAATTACTAGATATTAAAAAAAATAAAAAGTGCAAACGAGTCTTAAATAAATTATTAAAAAATAAAAAAATTAATTTTTTATTTAAATAGGAGGGTATATTTGTCATTTCATAACATTTTATTGAGAAATTGAATGAAAATGGATAGAAATTATGGTTTGCGCAATCAAATGTATAATGAAGAGTGGAAATGCTAAAAAAATGAAAAGAAGTGACTTTTTTCACAATAATTGTGAAAGGTATATACATTATGTGCTAATTACCTTTTTAATAATTTATTTGGGTCTTGTTTGCATTTAAAAAAAAAATTAATCCTATGGTGACAATTAGTTCATTTTTTTTTATTTAAATAGAAGGGTATATTCGTTATTTCACAACTTTTAATTGAGAAAATGAATGAAAATTACATTTTGCACAATAAAAATTGAAAATAAGGGTGAAATGCCAAAAAAATGAAAGGTAAAAATATTTTCCACAATAATAGTAAAATGTAAGGATGTTATGCGCTAATTATCCATTATTAAATTAACTAGAACTATTTTGGATTGGATTTTTTGTACTTTCACTTTTTCTTCCTTCTGGTATTTGCAAGGGATAAAAATTACACTTTATTCTTTAGAATTTGTTTTATCTCACATATCTAGATAGGAGCTCCACAAATCCCATCTGTCGATAAATGTGTTGACATATGGTTGATTATAATCTTAAAGTTTTGATTATAACAAATAAATTAATCTTGTTTATTAAAAATTGAATTTAAAGCGATTATAGTCTGCAAAACATCCACTGATAAATTGATTGTTCGTCGTCAAAAGATCTTAAAAGACAAATATCAAAGAAAGATTTAGATCAAGAGTTTAAAAGTCAAACGTCAATAAAAGATCAAGACAAGAGCCTAAGAGTGAAACTTCGAATCAAGATAAAATATTAGATTTCTTAATTCAAAAGTAAATGTACTAATATTTTGATCTTTAGTAATGAATGATAAAAGCTAAAAATCACTTTGTGCACTAAAAGTTATTTTGATTATCACTTGCATAAATGTTTTAATCAAAAGCAAAACTGATTTTCAAAATAATATTTGAATTTAGATCATATTTTTAAAACACTATTTACCTTGTAAAATAATTAAAAATAGGAAATTTATTAGTGAATGACAATTGTACCCTACATCCCTAGAAATTATTACCATTGTATCCTTAATCTTTCCCTATAAATATAGGACTTTTGTTCTTATTATATACATAGAAGTATATATATTTATAATTTCTCTTTTATTTCTCTCTTTTAATAACACGTTATGAGCACGATTATCTCAAAATCAAAGTAAATTAGTTAGAAGATTTATGACGGATTGGCTGTCAAGATACATGCTTGATTGATAGTGCAGTTACACGTACTATTCTTCAAGACAAAAAATATTTTTGGACTTAACATTAGCAGAAAATAATGTTAATAGGATATCATGTGCATCGAATATCGTTGAAAGCTCCGGAATAACTTATATTATTTCACCAAATAATACAAAATTATATATTGACAATGCACTTTATTCTAGCAAATTCAGAAAAAAATTTGCTTAGTTTTAAAGATATCTACTGCAATAGATATCATATTGAGATGATGCAAGATAAATAATGTTAAATTTCTTTGCATAACTTTTTTTTTTTTTTTTTTTTTTTGTATCTGGCTAGAAGCATGTAAAAGAAAATTTTCGTGCACTCTCATCTGACATGTATTATACAATTATAAAAATGGTTAAATCAAATATTGTCACAAACCAAAAGTTTGTTGACCCAAAAAGTTTTATACTTTGCCATGATCGACTTGGATATCCAAGAGCTATAATGATGTGTCGAATAATATACAACTCAAATGAACATCCTTTAAATAACCAGAAGATTATTTTACATAATGATTACTCATGTGTAATTTGTTCGTAAGGCAAATTAGTCATTAGACATTTGATTACAAATGTAAATATTGAATCTCCAACTTTCTTGAAAAGAATTCATGAAGATATATGTGGGACAATACTCCCACCATGTGAGTCATTTCGTTATTTTATGGTATTAATTGATTCTTCTACTAGATGGTTATATGTTTGCCTACTTTCCACTTGGAATTAGCTTTTGCTAGACTACATGCTCAAATCATAAAATTACGAGTTCTATTTTTATTACTCAATCGAGAAAATTCGTCTTGGCAATGCCGGTAAATTTAGATCACAAGCATTCAATGATTATTGTATGTCAATTGTGATTGTTATTGAATATTTCATTGCGCATGTCCATACAAAAAATGATTTAGTGGAGTATTTATTAAACGTTTACAACTTATTGCTCGACCATTACTTATGAAAACAAAACTCTCAGATTTTATTTGGGGTCATGTCATGTTATATGATGCGTCAATGTTTCGTATCAAACCAACTTATTATCAATATTCACATTTCCAACGGCATTTGGTCATGAACCTAATATTTCTCACATACGGATTTTTAGTTGTACTGTCCAAGTTCCTATTTTACCTCTACAATGTACTAAAATGGGTCCCAATAAAGACTTGGAATTTTTGTGGGTTTTGATTCACCATCTATTATTAGGTATCTTGAACTTTTATTTATTGCACATTTTGCAGATTGTCATTTTGATGAAATGACTTTCCCAACTTTGGGAAGGAAAAAATTACATCTTGATAAATAAGGTAAAACTTCTTGAAATGAAACAAATATATTTCACTTTAATCCGTGCAACAATCAATGTGAGCAAGAAATTGAAAAAATTATTCATTTACAAAAAGTTGTAAATCAATTACCAGATGTATTTGTTAATACAAGAAAAATGACAATGTCATATATAACAACAGAAAATATTTCAACAAAAATTGATGTCCCTGCAAGACAATTTGTTGTAGTGAATGAATCTCAAATACGCCAGAAGCATGGTCGACAATTGGTTCAAAAGACCCTGTACCTCAAAAAAGAAAAGAACAAGAGAAAAGTCAATAAAAAACTTCAGATGAAATAACATTAGAAAAGATTGATCGATTAAATATTGAAAATATGGTTCCTGAAGAATCACACGTGTTCGAAAATAATGAGATTTCAATAAATTATATGTTATCTCATAAATTATGAGAACGAAATAATGTTGTTATAAACAATATTTTCGTATTTAACGTTACTCTTGATATTATGCAAAATGAGGATCATGTACCATAGTCTGTTAAATATTGTCAACATAAAATTGATTGGCCAAAATGTAAAAAAAAAAAAAAGCCATGTAGGCATAACTGAATTGCTTAAAAAAAGGAAAAGTGTTTGAACACGTAGTTCGAACACTTGAAAATGTAATCCATATAGGATACAAATGGATTTTCATATGAAAGATAAATGAAAATAATGAAATAACAATAGCTCAAGGTTTCTCACGAAAACTAGGAACTAATTATGAGGAAACATATTTTTTCGTAATGGACACCATCAATTTTAAATTCTTAATTAGTTTGACCGTGTCACAAATACTTAATATGCGTCTTGTGGATGTAACAACTGTCGATTTGTATGGTTCACTTGATAGTGATATATATATATATATATATAATTCCCTGAAGGAAAGTGTCAAGAACAAATGACATGTGCCCAAGAATCATGTTCTCAATTAAATTGCAATGATCATTATATAGATTGAAGCAATCCGGACACATGTAGTATAATTGCCTTAACAAATATTTGTTGAAAGAGGGTTATAAAAATGATGATGTCTGCCCATGTGTTTTCATAAAAAAAACAAATATTGGATTTGCAACTATGACAATTTATGTTGATGTTTTAAATTTAATTGGAATTCCTACTAAATAAAATTGCAGATTATTTAAAAAATGAATTTTGAGATGAAAGATTTGGAAAAATTAGATTATATCTTAGGTTGCAGATTGA